TTATAATTCTCCTTCTAATATACTATTACTTTCTATTTCAATACTACAAATTATTATTAAAATTGATCTTTGGACTATTCAATGAATTAAATATCATATTCTTCTCTCATATATTATTATTAACATCCAAATCTAAGTAAGTCTTGATCATTCTTGTAGGTTTAGATTATAGATTATATATCTAAGTTTTTATTCTTTAAATGTAATTTAAAAGCAAGCTTTTTTTTGTAAAAACTTCAATTGAATTTCAATAAAGTTAAAGGTATGACATGACCATTAATATTAAAAAAAAAAAAGATGTTTATTAATACATTAATCATTTGCTGTAACAAGTTAAATATGTATTAATTATTTTTTCTTTAATTAATATATGTTTTTAACATTTGTTTAAAAGATTTATGTGTAAAAAAAACAATTTTTTATGTTTCTATTTTTGTTTAAGAAAAAATAAAAAACCGAAAAGGTAAATTTTTATTTTCTTATTTTTAAAGATATTACCAAAATAACGCTCCGAGGTGTAGGTTAAAGCTTTGGCCGAATTAAGCTTAATTTAGGCCGAATCACGATTAATTCGGGCCAAAATATTAACCTAGACCCGGGGCGTAATTTAAGACATTACGATATACGTAATTACCATCTGCTTTATTTTAATTAATTAAATTAAATCAGCCTAATTTTAATTAATACGTAATTATTAGGTAACATAATTAATCTGACATTTACATCAGCAATTGACGTAGGTCATTTATTGATAGGTTAAAATTCAAAAATAACAGGCGTCAAATTCAGAATTGACATAAATCAATAAATGACACATAACAAGAACATCCTGTATAAGCTTCATAAAAACGATAGAGACTATAAATGTGTCTCGGAGTTGTTTTTATCATCATGGAAACATTCAGATAAACCTGTTCCGACAATTGTTTCAATATTTAAAATATTTTGTGCAAAAGAATTAATTTCTCGACACGATCTTTATCGAAAAGAAGTAGGAAATGTGCAAAGGCTGTTTCATGGAACAAAGACGTATATTTTCAATCCTTTAATATATGAGCGTTGTCAAATTAAGACCTGTAGATGTGAATTTAAGTTCACTATTCAGGACTACACCTGAAGAGTTATAATTACGCACAATCGATGTGACCTATGTTATGGTCGTTAGATAAATAATGCCACATCTTAGTATGTACTGTACATACTAATGATGCCGTTGAATTGTCTTAATGCCGTAACTATAGTAGTTACGCATAAGCTTTAGCTAGTTATGGCTTATGCTGTAACATCAGTGAGACGATTCTACGGCATCACCAGTACATACGTACGTACGTACGTACATACGTTACTTTTCTATAATTAATAATAGAGTATTAACCTTCTTGTTTTCATGGCGATCGTATACAATATCACAATTTTTATGGACAAAGTGAAAACTCGAATTTTCATTTATAGATCTTAATTTGACGACACTATATTAACAAAAAAAAACCTTCTTACCATATTCTTTTTTTTTCAAGAACATGTACAATTGGCTTTGAATGCGACGATCTATGCTTTGATAAATCGTGCTCGCTTTGTTGTATTCTAAAAGACGGATACAAACTCGAATGTGCACAGTTTGGATTATTTGGTAAAGGGATTTATTTTTCTTCCACATCATCAAAATGTGACAACTTTAGCATCTTATTAAAAAACAGTGATGGTATAAACTATAAAGTGATGATATTGAATAGTGTGGCTTTAGGAAGGATTTATAAACCTACTGAAAATGATTTTACACTTACAAGCCCTCCACCTGGGTATGATAGCGTATGTGGAGATCCTAATACTGTCAAAAATTTAAATGATTTGAAGTTTGATGAAATTATTGTGTATAAAGAAGAAGCCTCAATTCCACAATTCCTTATCGTTTACCAACCAGAAATCAATATTGAATGATGTTCGTTATTATAAATAAAAACTAGCAAATATTTGTAATATGTAATACAACGTAATTAGTTAAATTTCTTAACTCATATCGTTGAATTTTTTAAGATTATTTCTCAATAAAAAAAAATTTTTTTCTTGATATCATATTATAAACAATTAAATTATACATTTTTTAGCAGTAAAAATTAATTTTATTCTATTGCTCTATTGATCTATAGGAAAATTTAATGATTAAACTATTATAAAAATTAAAATTTTAATTATAGTAGGCAATCTCTATGTGTATTTGTGGATGTGTAAATTGCACCCATAAAATGTGTACCAGGTTGGGTTTGATAATCACTCGGACGATAGTCCGGATGATCTTTTAAAAAATTAAGCAACTTCGACTAGCGCAAAGATTTTATCGATTAAAAAAAAACAGAATATTATACATATTGTATATACTGTCGACTCTGAATATAACGAATCAAAATTTGAAATTTCACAATAGTTTTGTCATGGCTTCTTAATAAAACACATCAATTTTTTATAACTTTTTTTTTATTTTTGCAGTTAGTTCACTATAGAAAAGGTTGCATTTTTCAATTAAATCAATATTTCATATGGTTTACAACGTTTATACAATGTTACAGGCTTTTGCTTTCGACATTTTAAAACCAAATCCAGTTTTTTTTTTAATCGTTAATTTGGGGAGTTTTTTTTTTTGACAAATTATGTCAAGTGAATAAATCTTTAGTTTAAATGCTACAAGACAATTCTTGTTTTTATTTCTCAAACTATGTTGGTTTTTTGCTTTACTAAATTACTGTAAATGCAATGTCTCATCTCTTTAAATCCTTTTAACTGGGTAAGTTCCGGTCAGGTGCATCGCGTTGTTGATTTTTCTTGAAACGAATGAACACGCTTCAAAGCATCTATCTTCTTTAATATTACTAATTATCACGTTTTCCAAAGTGACTTTAGGTTCTAATAACTCTCAATACTCATAGGCCAGTGAAAGAATTCGTTAAAATAGGGTAGATAGATTCAATATATCCAATAGTTCGTTCAAGTTCAATTTATATTGTAACTTTGATTTACAAAGTAGTGAAGTGACGATTTACGATATTAAAATATGTGCCTGTAACGAAATTTGCATCTTTTTTGATAAATTTTAATATTTTTGTATTTGCATATTTAAT